TTGCCATGGAGCCTGTTGCCATGGGGTGTGTTGCCATGGGGCGTGTTGCCATGAGGCGTGTTGCCATGGGGCGTGTTGCCATGGGGCGTGTTGCGATGGCGCGTGTTGCCATGGGGCGTGTTGCCATGGAGCGTGTTGCCATGGGGCGTGTTGCCATGGGGCGTGTTGCCATGGGGTGTGTTGCCATGGGTTGTGTTGCCATGGAGCGTGTTGCCATGAGGCGTGTTGCCATGGGCCCTGTTTCCATAGGGCCTGTTGCCATGGGGCCTGTTGCCATGGGGCCTGTTGCCATGGGCCTATTGCCATAGGGCTGTGGCTACTGCATTGCTTCTCAAAATTGTGCCTACCTCCTCGTTTCAGCACTTCTTGCCAAACTCTGCTTGCACCCTATTTCTTCTACTCTGTTTTCCTTGCAGGAACTTTCTTAGTTGAACTGTCCACATTTTCCTCTCTTCCTTTCCACCATTCCCCCAACCATCCCTCTCTTTTATCTCTCTCTCCCCTCCCCTCTTTCCCGCACCGCACTCTCCCAAATTCTAACACCGCCAAGGTTATTCGCCGTCATTCGGGGAGTCTCTCCAGTGGTCTCTCTACAGTGTGCATGTGGATATGGTTAGCGACCTCCGTCTTATCTGGTCAACCAATGTGTGTCACGAGAGCCTAAAAAAGGCGAGTACTGCTGCCTTATAAATACAGGAGCTGCTACTGGCTTTCCACATCCTGTAACATTGCGTTCGACATGTCCATGTTTTCACTAGCAGCCTCATACGCCCCACCCTCCTCTCCTATGCCGCAACCAGGTGGTGAGGCTGTGGGCACTGGTGCCAGAGGAACAGCGCAGTGCCAGCCATGTCTGCATCGCATTCGCACCCACCTACCTGCATTACTGCGCCTTGCATCAGTACTGCCGCTCCTCGCCTGGCCGGCACGTGCATACAGCCATGCAGAAGGCCAGCATCCACTGGTGGAAGCCGCCCTGAGATAGAGCCATGCCTCAGGTTTAAACTCTTCTTCCCTTGTCCAGTCTATCTTTGTTAGAGCCAGATCACAGTCCTACTTTGTATTTGTGCATGGTCACATCCCTGCATCATGTCTCCTCGGTTTCTGGATTGTCACTCACTCCCCATCAGACACCCATACGACCCCCTCTCTGCCCCACTCCTCCCCCTCCTCCACTTCGCCAAGTATTTTCTCTTGTTTCTCCCTACCTTCATGCTCGGCTGCTCGCGTTCTTCCTTCTTCCAAACCCGCACTCTTCATCTCCCTCCTCCGCCCCCCCCCCCTTCCTCTGTCTTGCCCCTCAAGCCCCCTTCCTCCACCCACTCTCGCCTGCCCGAGAAGCCTAGAAGACAGCGAGTACGACAGAATCTGTGGGGAGAGTGGGGTGTGGCGTGGGACAAGAGTGGGATTGCGGTGATGCCTTGAGCAGTGCAAGGGATGGTTGATGCCATGCCACATGGCCCACGCTCATGCTGGGAGGAGACTGCTTGGCTTTCAGAAAACAAGGTCTGTAAGATAATGCAGTTGCTACTTTTATCCATTGCCAGCGTGTGTTCTGCGGCCGACACGCTTCCCTATCACAAGAAATGTCAGAGTATATCCCAGGGGAAACCCCTTATGGATCTCTTGCTCAGTTCTTTCTTTGATTCGTTTTTCTCACAAGCATTGCTGCACCAGCAAGCCTATAGCATGTGGAATGTCCATGGGGACGCAGGGAGGCAGGTTGCGCCCATTGCTGTTGCACCATCTCTGCTTCTTCCTCCCCTCTTTCCTTCTCCTCCCTACTCAGCTGCGGCCCTCGTCCTCCTCCCTGATCCTCCATCTGCGATTTTCAACCTCCTGCTACCGTTTGCTGATCATCTCCTTCAGCTTCTGTGACTGCTGCTGCCTGCCTTGCGTGCGGCGAGGGAATGAATGATATGGCTGTGGGCCATGCCAGATTCGAGCTGGCACATGCATTACAAGAAATGCGCATCGGTGTGGTTTGCTTGCTGCTATTGCATTTTGAGGACCACTGTTGCAGGTGGTGAGGAGATTGTGTGTCGAGCGATGCAGACGATCTCAGATAGTGCTGATATGAGCAGAATGCTACAGCAATGTGATACGAGGTGAGGTGGCAAAATTCAGGTTGTAGAAGAGGTACCATCCCAAAATTCGCAAATCCCCCCTTCGCGTACCCGCCAAGATTCTCGGGAAACAGTACCAAGCCACAAAGTGGTTTGGGACTGGCCACACTGTAGGTACTCCATCCGCTAACCGAGGGTGTACCTACAGCGCATGCGGGAGTGGATTAGGGCGAGCGTGTATACCGAGACCACGCTAACAACCTATCGGCAGCCTCGGGAAAGGCTTGCCATCCTGTGGCATCTACGTGGAGTCAAATGCTCAAGTGACGAAGCGCCCACAATGTAAACAAACCGCAGAACAGTGCGCAAGCGACAAAACAGCCGTTCAGCCCCGACACACACAAACAAAACAGGCAGCGGAAAATTGGCGCCATATGACAAACGCAGACAACGTACCCCACCCCATTGGGCAGAATGATGCTGACAACACAGTGGCGAAACTGGCGAACAGCGAGCAAAACGAAAAACGCGAATGTTGATGGTTTCACAGAGTAACACCGAGTGTTACAAAGCATGACACAAAATTACCACAACAGCTAACCGTAACCAAACTTTGTACACTTTATTCGAAAGACACAAATAGGTGGTCCAAAAAGAAATCACTTATTCAAAACCTATTTTCAAGGGAAAAAATGGCAACAGGATACCATGTAGCAAAATCCTATATTAGATAACTGTTTATGAGATGCAACTACTGAGGGCGCGTTCTAATTCGTGCAAGCTTGCGTGTCGGGAAACGTCGTGCTTCTGACAGCAATCAATCGCCGAGCCTGCCTCTCAATTGTCAGAATCTGACTCCCAGATGGAAATCGACAGATTTCTCCCTAAGTTGACGCCGACAAATATTATGCAAAACGCCGTAACAGTCGCTTCAGAAATCGATCAGCTGACCTTTCCGTTATCGACAAGTTCTCCATGCAACTGAGTTACACTGACGTATCAATTCCTCTAAATTTATAAATAGATCATTTTAAGTTGTCTCCTCTCAAACTTCCGGTTTCGACTTTTCTCACTAGGGTTTCAAGAATTGGTTTCTTCTCCTACTTCCCGCCTCGTTTCTTGGTCCCTAGCGCGTCTCCATAGCGTGTGTGCCTCTAGCTGAATCTTTTCTATGACTTGATGTCATTTCATTATTCTGTTCCTTATTTGCACCTTTCCTTCAATCATGTTCCATCGTCAGCGTCCCTTGTGTTCCGTCATTCTCCCTTTCAGTTATTCATTCTCCGTTTTATGTTTTCATCCTCCGCGTTATGCTTGCGTTTGGCCAGGATGGAACAGGTGTTGGGGTTGATTCGACCGTCGCTGTCACAATTCTCGGCACCGTTCAGGTTTCGTATGTTTCTGTTTTCTGAATTCTCGTCAGATCTGTTGGTATCCTTACTGCTTTAGCTTATCGATCTGACTTCTCCATGTCCGTTAACCGTTCCTGTTCGTCGACGCAATTGCCTTTCGTTTTGTTTACGTTTCCGCCATTGAGTTATCCTCCGCTTTCGCAGTGCCCGTTCCCTAATCGCCTTCGATTCCGCCTGCGTTTTTGCCTACGGTAGTGCCTTTGCCTTGCGTGCAGACGACAAACACCTGTTCGTCGTCTGCGACCTGCGTGTTCCTGGAGAATTGAACGTTAGGGTTCAATTTATTGGAGTCGTTGGCCGAGGAGCATATCACATGCAAATGCGCTTGGGAATTGTATGTGCCCTGCTCATGCCCGCCTCCCATTTCCTCCATGTTTTTGCTGTCTGTGGGGAACTCCCTCGCCTATCATCACTCGTTTGTCGTTGGGGTACGCTATCCTTTGCCTTTTAAGTTATTCTCTTCTGTATGTATGCTAGTCATCACTGTGTTTTATCTGTTTTTCCTTTTCTTTCTTTCCAGAATAGCGCTGACCAGGGGTTTTCATATTGACACCCCTCTGTCGCTTGCAATGCTCACCCGTGGCAGCATGACTGACGGCTCTGGGCAGCAGCGATTGTTTGTTTGTACTGGGACCGATTTGGTCTTTCTTATGGTGCTGGTGTTTTCTGCTTAGAATGCTCGACGGTTGCACTGCACGGTGCGTTTTTGCAGCGTTTATCTTAAAATGTAATTGTATATGAGGATTATAAATTATTATATGTTTTAACGAAAAATGTACCACGATCATATCACACAGAATCGGGCTGCAATGTATCGCGGATTTGCGCTTGATATACTCCCCACTGTATAGGCATTCTATCTCGATATCCTACGTGGCAACGGTCTGGGCACTTTGTGGACCAGACTTGGGTACAGGCTTGCTGCGGAGGGAGTGGGCAGGTTCTGCCTATAGTGTGGCTACAATGCGGCCGTAGGTTGTAGGGAGGGTGTAGCCACGGGGTCCGTAACCCATCTCGGCAGAGGGTGTAGAATTGCTGAATGAACAACTATTTGTAGTATATAAATGGCCAAAATATAGCCGGTTTATAGCGAGGGTACAGCAACGGAGTAGGGAGTCCGTGGAAGGACTCCGCTTTTTTGGGACGACAGGTGTTACAACACGGGTTAGGCATTGTTTTTCGTCAATTAGAGCTAAGTCAATTCGGGAAGGGGAGAAGAAGGAAAGCAGCCGTGATTGGAGACAGAAGGGCAGCCTCCTCCGGTAATCCCTCATCTGGCAGGTGTTTCTGGTGCTGGCGTTGATGGTAATTTTGTGTTGCCATAGGTGTTTTGGCTACTTTGACTGAGCGGCCATCAACTTACCAGACCGTTCTTGGTAAGTGAATGTGTTGCCTTGTATGGGTGCATGCATGTATGTACGGGCACAACGGAACATGTTTCTGCACGCGCTCAAATGACTTCTGAGACCGGCCAGTAGACATTCTTCTGTTCGGCAGGGTCTTTGCAGCAGCAACAATAAAACCTGCTTTTGAAGTTTTAATATGATCTGTATACTGAAGGTGGTATACTGACATGGATTGAACCTCTAGTGTTTCAAGAAACCCTATGAGAATCTCTCCTGATGCCTAGTTGACCTCCAGTCACCACTAGTTCAGAGGTTGAACCAGCAGCATGACTGACTGTCAACTGGGGACCGGGGAACTCAGTGAGGCCTCTCATCTAGGATATTCCGAACGCCTGAACGTTTTACACCCTGGTATTAGTGGGAACCAGGACTTTATCCACGCCGTGGGCGATGAAGTACGGCCCAGCGTACAGCCGGACGATCTTGATGGTGGTCCAGGCAGCAGGGGGCGCGTTGGGGGTCTTGGCGAAGGAAACTGTGTTACCATTCTGCTGCGAAACCTTGTACATCGCCTGCTTCAGCTGCGTGCCCAGAGGCTGCGACTTCTTGAGCACCTTGAGCGCGGGAACGGTGTACTTCTTGCGGATGATGTGGTACGCCGTGATGTTGTAGATCTTGGGAATGTTGGAGCTCTTAGCGGGAACCTTCTTAGCGAGGGCCTCTGCCTCTGTGTCACTGGGGAGCAGGAGGGTCGCGTCGCTGAGCGCTGTAAAATCGTACTTGGAGTTAACTGCAGGCGCGGAGGGGGATGGGGGAGGGAGGGCAGAGAAGCTAGGTTATTTCCCGAGCGCGAATCCGACTACTCTTCTGCCTGATCCGGACGAGGGAAAACTACAGCAAAATATCCGTGGGTACAACATGCGAGACCCTTAGGAGAGTAGCTTTTCCGACTCTGTCTGAGGTCGGGCATTCAGCTAGTGAGGGGAAGAAGGCACACCACAGAGAAGACGCAATGTGAAAACTGGGTCCTTACGTGCGAGGCCGATGTACTTGTTGATGTCCTTGGCGTATTTCGCGTACTGCGGGAATTTCTTGGTGATGGCGTTCGCCATGTTCTGCAGCTCCGCCTTTATTTGCGCCTTGGTTGGCTTCGCTGGGGCTTGTGCGTGCGCGGAAGCGACGCACAGCACGATACAGAGCAGCCCGAGGAGGGGAATGAACCGCGAGCAGGCCATTTCTAGGTGAGAGGCGCACGATCGTACGGAGAGATCACCCCTGTTGGGAGCTGTGATAGGTGCGTGGAGGACTGTGAGTGACCTGCTGGGGTGAGGGAAATGTGAATTTGACGAAAGCGAGTCAATTGATGCACGAATTGACTTGATGGAACTAATCGAGGCACGAAACACAATGTATAGCTGAGAAAGTGGTTTGGGAGCGCGTCAACACAGGCCGACATGCGGCGTGGGAAGCGGTGGAGCTCCTTCGCGATGTAACTTTCCAGGGTGACGACGCGCTTGAATCGCGAACAGCAGCAAAGGCTGCCCAGCTGGTAACTGACCGGGCGGCAACGAAACTGTCGCGAAGCCGAAATATTCCGCTGCGCTTGGCTCGTCTTGGCGGTGGCTGAATGGTCGGTTGAAGTCGCGGTCCGCGTGGGGGCGGGCTGCATGTTAATGACATTCTATCCCCGAGATTACGATATTCCCTGCAGAATTTCATAAAATACCGCATGTAGGCACTGGTCATATATACTATAGAATGTATTTTCGCTTTTCGTTCCGAGTTTTGCAGGCAGAGGCTATGTAGTGTGTAGAGCATGAATAACTCTGGTTTCGGTGTTCCTTGTGCACGGCTGTACTCTCCGGTTCACTGAATTGATAGTGTGATTCCTTATGTTAGAACAACTACTATCAACATGCCTATGCTTATCTGTTTAGTGCAGGTACAAGTAATTGTCAACTTATGCATATATTGTTATGTGGAAGTTATAGGCTAGATAGGGTATGCTCTTAGTGGGTACAACCCAAACGCTATGTCTCCCCTATTCTCCCTTCTTCTATTCATTCTTTCTAGCCTTAACATGGTATCACGAGTAGATAGGTCCACCCACCCGCTTCCGCCCCGTGCCGCCACCTACCGGACCCTCACGCCCCTAGCTGGCCCCGCGCCCCCCTACGGCCCCGTCGCGCCCCGCAGGCCCAGTCGCGTCCCTAGCAGGCCCCGTCGCGCCCCTAAGGCCCCATCGCGCCCCTACGACCCCGTCGCGCCCCTAGCAGGCCCTGTTGCGCCGCAACGGCCCCGTCGCGCCCCTACGGCTCCTCGCGCCCCTAGCTCGGCCCCTTGCGCCCCTAGCCGGCCCCGTGCGCCACTACGGCCCCTCGCGCCCCTAGCCGGCTCCGTCGCGTCTCCTACTGGCCCCTCGCGCCCCTAGCCGGCCCCATCGCGCCCCTACCGGCCCCTCACGCCCCTAGCCGGCCCCTCGCGCCCCTACAGCCCCTCGTGCTCCTACCGGCCCCCCCCCGTCCCTAGCCGGCCCCACGCGCCCTTGCCGCCCCCCCCCCGCGTCCCAAGCCGGCCCCACGCGCCCTTGCCGGCCCTGCTCGCCCTAGCCGGCCCCTTGTGCCCTAGCCGGCCCCTTGTGCCCTAGCCGGCCCCTTCAGCCGCCGAGCTGCCATGTCCCCGAGTCGCCGTGCCGCCGAGCCGCCGAGCACCCACGCCGCCGAGCCGCCGAGCAGCCGTGCCGCCGAGCCGCCGTGCCGCCGAGCCGCCGTGCCGCCGTGTCCCTGAGCCGCCGCGCCGCCGAGCCACCGAATCGCTGCGCTGCTGAGCCGCTGTGCCGCTGTCACATTGTGCGATGGTGGACGCCGTTCTTCGCTTAGATGCTGAGGGGCACGCGATCAACTTCGCCGCCTGGCTTGTCGACCTCCGCCGGCACCTGACAGGTCAGCGCCAGGATGGCCACTCCCTGGCTATGCATGTTGATGGTTTGCTTCCCCGCCCCCCTGCGCCTGATCCCCTCCCTGCTGACCCTACCACTGCTGAGAGCGAGGCTTTTGCTGCTACTGCGCTTGCTCGCGCTGTCTGGGATTCTCGCGACGCAGTAGCCCAGCTTGCCATTAGCCATGCCCTCCCCCTGTCTGAGCGTCCGCGCTTTACTGCTGTCGCGAACGCCAAGGACTTTCTCGCTGCAGTAGTTGAGCGTTACTCCACACCTGCTTCCGCCTCTGCTGGCCGCTTGATCCTACCCATGCTCTTCCTTGATCTTTCCGCTTTCCCCATGGTAGCTGACCTCGCTACTCACCTTCGTGCATTAGAGACTAGCTACCGCGCTGCTAGCTTTGCCGCCCAGCTTACTGCCTTCCCCCCACCATTCTGCGCTACACTGTACCTCATCGCCATGCGCCTCCCTGACCGCTTAGCCACTTCCCGCGACCACTTTCTTAGTCAGCACCCTGCCGACCTCACCCTGACCGCTTTTGTCACTACTCTGTCTGAGATAGAGACTCGCCATCGCACTATCGATCAGTCGAGCGGTGTTGCGGCAGTCCCTATCTTTCAGGGTTATGCCCCCTCCCTGTGCACGTACGCCGACATCTCCGCCACAGTTGCCACTACTGCGCCTGCACCTGAGACAGCAGCTGTGGCGTACCCGAAGCAGCGCCAGCACCCGGGGCGCCTTGGCCCCAAGGGAGGACGTGGAGGTGGCGATAGTGGTGGTGGTGGCGGGGATAGTGGTTCTGACGAGGGGGTTGGTGCTGGTGCCCAGGAGCAGCAGCAGTCGCCGTAGTCGCAGCCGCTGTAGTCGCAGCCGCCGCATCAGCAGCAACCGCAGCAGCAGCAGCCGTGGGCTCGTCTCCCGCCGGGGTGGCCTGGAGCCCCTGGCGGTGGTGGTTGTGGTGGTGGCCCTTGCAGCTCGGCGTCCACCGGCAGCTTCGGTGCTGTGAGCTGCCAGTACCAGCTTCAGACCGGGCCCCTGCGTGGCACGGTGTGCCGCCGCTGCTTCCGCCGCCGCCGCTCGCACCCCAAAGCCCGTTGCTTCCGCCGCCTCTACGACCGCTTCCGTTGCCGCTTTGGTCCCGCCCAGGACCTCCCTGACTGGCCCAGCTTGCTACGCCACGGTGTGCCCGTGTTTTACTTGGACATGGATCAAATTAGTTATGCCTTGCATTCTCTGTATGCTGACGCTTCGAGTGTTTTCGAATCGTATTACTCTGTGTTCTCTAGCTTAGGCATAGCACCAGTGTGTAGTCGAGACTCCCCTGCTGCGTCAGACGTAGGACAGCTTGCTTTGTTTAGCCTAGGCTCTACCCTTGCTACTCCGTCGTCGGCCACTACGGCGTCACTGTCCTTCACGCTAGACTCCGGTGCGTCAGCCTATTTCTTCCACGATCACGCCGCCCTCACGCCGCTTGCTGCACCTGCCGCTGTCGCCCTTGCGGACCCCTCCTCTGGTCCTGTAGTTGCTCGCAGCTACACTACACTTCCATGTTCGGCGATTCCCTCGGATTCCTTTACACGCCTGCACATCCCTTGCAACATTCCCCCAAGCGGTAAGCAGTCTGTTCCGAGGCCACCTCAGGTGCCCCCCTTGCAACGTTCCCCCGGGACCTTGTGTCTGGCCTGTTTACACTGGACACTGCTCCCCCCCCCGCGGGCGAGTCCTCCTCCGGTTCTGCGTCCACCCAGGTAGCTGCGGCCTGCTCGTATCGATCGCTCACTCACCTTTTACTGTTGTGGCACCACCGCCTAGGTCACCCCGCGCTCCCCCGCCTGCGTCACATGTCTAAGCACGGTCTAGTCCTCGGCCTCCCTGCGTCGCTCCCTGCTCTCTCTTCCTCGCTTGCGCCGCCGTGCACGCCCTGCGTCGAGGGCCGGCTGTGCTGTGCTCCTCACTCCTCCTCACTTCGCCCTGCCACTGCACCCCTTCAGACCCTGCACTTGGACGTCTGGGGCCTAGCCCATGTCCCTAGACCGTCTCGCGAGCGCTACTTTCTCGTGCTCGTTGACGACTTCACGCGCTACACCACGGTGTTTCCCCTGGAGCGGAAGGCCGACGTGCCTGACATTCACATCCCATGGCTCTTCGCTACGCGCCTCCACCGCGGTCTCCCTGTACTGTGTCTCCACTCCGACCGTGGCGGCTAGTTCGCCTCTGGTCGGCTGGGCCAGTTCTGTCGTGCGGAGGGTATCACCCAAACGTACACCCTACCGGACTCCCCGCTGCAGAATGGGGTCGCTGAGTGACGCATCGGTTTGGTCATAGAGGTGGCTCGTACCTCCATGATCCATGCCGGTGCACCCCATTTTCTGTGGATGTTCGCCGTTCGCTACGCCGCTCACCATCTTAACCTCTGGCCTCGCTCTCAGCGGCCGCAAGTTTTGCCGATCGTTCTTTGGACCGGGTTCCCTAGTGACCCTTCTGCGTTGCACGTCTGGGGCTGCCTCACTCACGTTCGTGCCTCCGGCACGGACAAGCTCACTGCCCGCACGGTCCCCTGTGTCTTCCTCGGTTTCCCCCTTGACTCGTCTGACTGGCATTTCTACCACCCGTCGTCTCACCGCTTCCTTCACTCCCGTCACGTCACTTTCGACGAGTCTGTCTCCTTTTTCCACCGCTTTCATCACTGAGGTCTCCCGGTTTCCCCCCCCCTGTTTCTGGTTCCCACTCCCCCGGTCGCCCCTGCTCCCCTCCCTCCCCGCCCTGCTCCGTCTGGTGTGTCTCACGTCACTCCCCTCCCGTCGGTTGTCCCCGTCAGGGAGTCGGCTGACTCCGGTGGCCCTACGACGTAGTTTGCGCCGCCTGTCCCTCCCACGGTATCTCCTCCTCCCTCCTCGCAGTCGCCGCCGCAGCCGCCGCCGTCACCGCCGCCGCAGCCGCAGCCGCTCGTGGACTCAGGGGGTGCTGGAGTTGGAGAGGGTGCTAGTCCTGGGGCTCCTATCGTGGCTTGTCCTGGCAGGCTCGGGGGTGGCACTGGCGCTGGAGACGTTTCTCATTCTGGGGGTGTTGGCGTGGAGTGTACCGGAGGTAGCAGTGGTGCAGCTGGTGGTCCAGGTATCGGCGTTGAGCAGCAGCAGCAGCAGTCGCCGTCGGTGTCCGCCCTTTGCCTGCTCGGCCTTCCCTCCCCTGATCGCTTGCCTGCGCCTTTCTCGCCGTCTCCCCCTCTTCCTGTTCACGTTCTTGTGTTTCCTCTGCCGGACTCGTCCCCGGCTCGTTTCCCTTCTCGTTCCCCTCCTGTTACTCCTCATTTGACTCCTGACCCGACGCCTCCGTCTCACGTCTGGTGTCGCCGTCCCTCTTGTGCTCGTCCATTCTCTCCTGTTCTGCGTTCTCACCCTATGTTGCTTTGTTCCCACGCTTCTCGTCCTCCCAGTTTGCCTTCGCCTCCTCCGTCGTCGCTCACTGCCGCGCCTTCCCCTTTGTCTGACTACGTTCGTGCTACTCGTCTTCTTGTTCCTCGGGTCCTTGCCCCCCTCGTTACCGACCCGTCTGTTCCTGTTTCGAGTCTTGACGCTCTTGTTGCTGCTGTCGCTGACTTGCCTCTACTTGCCGCCTTGACTTCGCTACCACTATGGTCTCTGACCGTGTCTGTCCTCCGTCCGTCGGGGGTGCTCGTGCCCTCGGCAGTGACGTCTTGGAGGACCGGCAGTACGAGCTTGCTTTCCTGTCATAGGCTGCTCCCCATCTTGCTTCCATGCTGCTAGTCCCTGAGGGTGACCCGGACGCCTTTGACATCCCAACCCCTCGCACCTACGCTGAGGCGACCTTGAGACCCTAGGCCTCTCAGTAGATAGCTGCCATGGAGCAAGAGATGGCATATTGGAGGGCTACCGGCACCTACGTCGACGCTGATCCCCCACCTGGGGTGAAAGTAGTCGATGGCCCATGGCTCTTCAAGTTGAAGCGCCCCCAGGAGAGCTGCCTGTATTCAAGGTGCGCTACGTGTCTAGAGGCTTCAGTCAGCGAGAGGGGGTTGACTTCTTTCAGACCTTCGCCCCGACCCCGAAGATGACTACTCTTCTGGCGCTTCTACACGTAGTAGCACAGCGTGACTACGAGCTTCACTCCCTCGACTTCTCCACTGCTTTCCTTCAAGGCAACCTACACGAGCAGGTCTACCTGCACCGCCCTCAGGGCTTCACCGGTACTTTCCCTCCTGGGACCCAGTGGCTCCTCCGGCGCCCCGTCTACGGCTTGCGACAGGCACCCCGGGAGTGGCATAACATGTTGCGTGCCACACTAGCTGACCTGCAGTTCTTTCCGTCCTCTGCTGACCCTTCGCTTTTCGTTCGTGCTGGCCAGACTCCGTTCTATATCCTGGTCTACGTGAAGGCTGAGCTGCTGAGGCGACACACCTGCACTGACGTGGGAGATTTGCGCCGCTACCTTGGCCTGCAGATCTCCAGGGACAGAGCAGCGCTTACCATAACTCTTACACAGTCACACTTGGTGCGCCAGGTCCTTCAGAGGTTCGGTCTTTACTTCTCCTCTGCACAGCCCACACCTCTGCCAGTAGACCACAGGCTCTCAGCTCCAGTTCCTGAGGAGTCAGTAGAGCCCAGTGATCCTTACGTAGAGCTGGTGGGTTGCCTCATGTACCTGATGACTTGCATTCGCCCAGATCTTGCATACCCTCTCAGCAACCTGGCTCGCATTGTGGCCACAGGCAGACACCGACCATACCACTAGTCGGCCGCTAAGAGGATTTTGCATTATCTTGCAAGTACATCGGGCATGGGGCTGGTGTTGGGAGGACGCAGGCCAGTGGTCCTTACACGGCACACAGACGCTTCTTGGGCAGACGACGCTGAGACCCTCCAGTCCTCCCAGGGCTACTGCTTCAGCCTTGGTTCTGATGCCATCTCGTGGAGGTCCACTCGCTCCTCGTCTGTTGCTCAGTCTAGCTACGAGGCTAAGATCTACGCCGGTGCCATGGCGGCACAAGAGCTCCGCTGGCTGACCTTCTTGCTTGCAGACTTAGGTGAGCGGCCTAGCTCTGCCCCGGTTCTGTACACTGACAACAGGGCCATGATCCTCCTATGTCAGGAGCCTTGACTTGAGGGCAGAGCGAAGCACATCCAGCTGCGGTACTTCCTCGTGAGCGAGCGTCAGCAGTGTCGCCAGGCCCGCGTAGTACACTTGGCCTCGGGTGCCAACACAGCTGATATCTTTACTAAGACGCTTCCGCCTAGAGATCATCAGCGGCACTGCTTGCAGTTAGGTCTAGTCCCTGTTGACTCTCACTTGCTAGGCCCTTGATTGTGTACTCCTCCCTATTTATACCTTGCAGACTGGCCTTGTGGCTTTTCCTCCAATGGTTGGACTTGTAGTGCCGCCCTGGTTTGCTCTGTCTTGCTTGTACTCTTGGTGACTAGTCTTCGGGCCCCTGCCTCAGAGGTTGGACTAGTAGTGCCAGTCTGAGTTGCGTGCTTCTTGCTCAGCTCCACCCCTTATCTAGCCTAGGGGGTGTGTCAACTTCTTACATATATTGTTATGTAGAAATTATAGGCTAGATAGGGTATGCTCTTAGTGGGTACAACCCAAACGCTATATCTCCCCTGTTCTCCCTGTCAACTTATACATATTAGCTATGTAGAAGTTATACTATAGGCTAGACTGAGGTATGCTTCTAGTGAGTACAACCAACTGGTATTTGTTCTAGGTTTCCACTTCTAGTCATTTATTCAGTTCTTACTTTAACACTCCCTTCTTCTATTCATTCTTTCTAGTCTTAGCAGTAATATCCACTTGACGATGCCAATCTGGCAAGTCCAAGGACATTGGCGTGATGGATGTTTACAACGATTGACATGGTGCATTCATTCTCTCAATGTCATATCCACAGGGCGAGAGCTAGATGTGAATTCCAAAACACGTCTTCGCCACGAAGGCAGCATTCTGACTAGACATGAGGGGGGGGGGGAGGGAACGGATACACTTCACATGAGAGACATTAAAAAAATGAAGATGAGATGAGGTGCGAAGAGGAAGCGGATGGGCAGGTGGGCCAGAGGAGCATAGGCGACAGGATGTGAATCAATGGCAGGAGCATGCATGCACACCCAGAACGGCTGACAAGCGTCAACGTACCGCCATGTGCCATGGCAGAGATGAGCCGGGTTCACCGACTGTCACAAGTGACAGCATGCACCTGCGTGCCAGCCTCACTCCACCCTAATCTCCTTCCTGGATGGGACTCGGAGGATAGTGTGGGGATGAGGCAGCTTGCCAGCATGAGAATCGATTGGTCTGTACCTCAGCCTCGGTAGGTCAGTACCTGCATCAACATTGTTAGGTCAGTACCTGCATAAACATCGGTAGGTCCATACCTGCATCAGCCTTGGTAAATCTATACCTGCATGAGCCTCGGTAGGTCAGTACCCACATGAGCCTCGGTAGGCCCGTACCTGCATCATCCTTGGTGAAGCACATGGGTGGTTTGATACGGAACACATTCCCATGGTACCCGCCCTTGCCCACCAGCACTCCCAGGTCTGCCGCATGCAATGGATGGGGGGGAGAGCATGAGGCAAATGATGAGGTTCATTCCTTTATGTGCCCTCCCTCACCCACCAGCACTCCCAGGTCTGCAGCATGCAATGGATGGGGGGGAGAGCATGAGGCAAATGATGAGGTTCACTCTTTCATGTGCCCTCCCTCACCCACCAGCACTCCCAGGTCTGCAGCAGATTCAAGGGACGAAGCAAAGAGAATGGCACTGAGGCCCAGAGCTTGACAGCGTGAGACAAGCATTTGAGGCCCGAGCTCGACTTGCTTGGAATCCATGCAACGAACACGGAAAGTCTCTGCCCTACCACCCTCGCTCCTTGACCGCTTGTCCCCCACCTCCCCACGATAACCATCCCACTCCAACTCTTGCCTGTCATTCGCCTCCCACTCACCCAACACTGCCCCTCACCTAACACTCCCCCCTTCTGCCCCTCGCGCAACTCTGCCCCACTGCCACTGAGTCTACCCCAAAGAGCAACTCAGCACCGAAGCCCTCAGGCAAAGCCCCACTTTCTCCCATTTCCAGATTTCCCGAGGCACCTTTGAGACGCTCGAATGCTTGCAGCGTCTCTGCCTTGGCGGGAGTCTTAGTCGCCGTATCTGCCACCAGCTCCACCCCCTGCATCAGCCCTGCCCCCCCCCGGTCTCCAATCACAGGGGGTGGGATGAGAACGAGCACGGTGGAGGAGAGATGAAGATAGAGGGTCCTGGCCGCCCTGTCTGCCACCAGCTCCACCCCCAGCATCAGACCTGTTCCCGTCATGTCTCCGATCACTGCAGGGAGGAACGTGCGTGAGATCCGCGCACACAAGGGAGAGGTGGTTAGCAGTAGGCCCTGCCTGTCACCAGCTGCAATCCCAGCATGAGATCCGCTCCTCTCACATCACCAACCACTGTTGGGTGGACATGAGCAAGGGGGAATCTAGTCTTGAGGCGCCTCAAAACTAGACTCTATGATGCGGGAGTCAGGGAAAGCGAGTTGAGTCTAAAGAGTTCCGGTGACCCTGTCAGTGTGTGTATCTGCTGCCAGCATCAGACCTGCTCCCCTCCCATTACGTGGGATGGCAACCAGCAAGGGTGGGGGTGGGGGGGGGAGAGATGATGGCACGGGAAGGTTCGTACAGGACCAGCTCCACTCCCAGCACTAAGCCTGCGCCCTTCACAACTCTCACCACTGGTGGACGGGAGGTGACGGAGTGAAGAGAAAGTACCAATGAAAACTGGGAAAGGGATTGGAGAGATGAAGACAGGGAAAGGGATTGGAGAGATGAAGACAGGGAAAGGGATTGGAGAGATGAAGACAGGGAAGCGTTCACCGTCCTCACTGTGACCAGCTCCACTGCCAGCAGCGCAGCTCACAGGTGTCCCTAGAAAAGTGTGCATCTCCACTTCAACCACAAGTTTCCCTCCCTCACTCTCTCATCCACTCACCAACCCACTCACCCTCATGTTTCCCCTTCAACCCTTGCAGCCTCTGCACTTCCCCTGCAGCCCCTCCTCCTCTATGATGCGCAGCACCGCCCTGCCACCAGCGCAGCTCACATGGTTGCGCAGCGCCATCACTGCCGTGATCTCCGGGGTGGTTACCACAGCTTATAGCGGCGATCCGTTACCGATGCCTTGAAGAGAAGGTAGGGAGGGAGAGAGAAGAGGGGGGTTTGGTGCTTATGAGATGGGTCGTTTGATGTGTTCAGAAAACTCACGACCAGGGCTATTGCCCAGGGCAAGGGGGGAGAGAGAGGGCGGAGAAGTGGGGGTTGCTGAGTCATGCAGAAAACACACCCCTTGCAGCACTTCTCTAACAATACATTGGCCATAGTAACGACGTCTGGAGTCACCCCCTGCGTCTCCAACCCCCAGTAGTGCGACCCCATGTGAAGAAACAACGTCTGCATCTCGTCTACAATACACACGCCCCTTCCTGCTCTGATCGAATCATACACCAATGGCAGGTAGCCACGTGTCAGAGGCACTGTGCCACCCACCTCTGCATGGACTCGGCTATCAAGCCAGCCACTCGGCCTGACGTGGACGAGCGGATAAGGTCGTCCACGTCAGCAGCGTACTTTCTGCGCCAGCATCAAACACCCGCCTGCAAGGGTCAGGATGAGTGCATAGCGCTAAACCCCTGCAGAGTGGAAAGGCGCAGGAGAGGAGGTGAGAAGAGTCACAGCGCAAGCCAGCCCCTCGCAGTCATCGCTTCGTGGGCAGCAGCTTGGTTCATTCGGCGCCGTTAGTCAAACCGAGCACAAACAGTGGAATGGCATGGTTACTTTCACATAAAACAGACGGCAAAACACTCCTCATATCAAACAATCAGGGGTAGGAAGACTGGCAAGTCAGTTGTGGAATTGCCAGCACTCCTGCCCCTGATTCTGTGACCTACTAGCCTACTTCAAACATGAGACAAAGCACGCCCCTATGCAAGAGGACGAGAAGCCCTCAACTCCCGCTCTTCCTTGAAGCACCGTACCCAGCTCAGCAGCAGCATCAGCCTGAGGAGCTTGTATCACGTTACAGCTGTACCAAGCCAAACCCCACATGGACGGCAGGAGGATGTCAAGCAGCAGCGGCAGCAGGCACCTTGGCCCCCATGAGCTGCCCGCCCCACGTCACACCTGCTGCGCTGCTGCCAGCCAGCACAGCATACCCGCTCACTGTGCTGTTCACTCCGCCATTGCCACCTGGAAATCCACCTGAAAAGCCACCTGCAGGCGGCTGCTGCGCTCCCCCCTGCTGCTGCCCGCCCTGCTTCTTCCCCGCCTGCTTGCCCATTGCGCGCATCAGCAGCTCCCGCCCCATCCCCAGCCCCATGCGCCTCCCGCCCTGCCCGTTCCGCGCGCCCCCCGCGCCCCGCGCACTGCCATTCCCGCTGCCCTGGCCGCTGTTGCGGGGAAGCGAGGCGTTGGGGAGGGCGGCGAGCAGCGCGTCGACGGTGGCGGCGTCGGCATTCTCGAGGAACGCGTCGAGCCGCGCCTCCGCGTGCAGCAGCCACCAGCCCGCGCGCTGCTGCCAGTCGGACGCCGCCACAGGTAGCGAGAGGACAGCCGTGGCGGCAGCGTCGCACGCGGCGCCCTGCACGATCGCGAGCGAGTCGGGCGGACTGCCGGCGGCGTCGACGAGGAGCGCGTGGACCAGCAGGTTGTAGCTGCCAGAGGAGTTTCTGGGAAAAGGCGCGCGGGGGGGGGGGGGGGGGGGGGGTGGGGTGGGGGGTGGGGGACGGAAGCGCAATGAGCTCGAGATCAAAAGAGCTGCTACGACGGGTGCTAGGTTGGTGCGAATGGAGGGGAGGGTGCGCGCGAAAGCCACTCTGATGTAGGAAAGTGCATCACGGATAAGGGTTTTATTTGGGGGGAGGGGGGATGGGGAAGGCAGGGAAGCTCACTTAAAGATGGCAAGGTGGAAGCGGCCGTCAAGAACCTTCTGGTCCGCGGAGCAATTGGCCAGTCGCGCGCCAATATCGGCCGTCAGATTCCCGACGACCGTCAGGTTCAGCGGAGGACCGCGCGGCTCACCGCCAGGTCCGCCAGGCCCGCCGGAACCGCCAGGCCCACCGCGCGGCCCCCCTGGTCCCTGACCGCCGGGAAGACCTCCGCCAGGCGGACCACGCTGCGCCAAGGCGGACCTCGCCGCAAGGAGAAGGATGCAGGTGAGGACGAGGGCTCTGAACGCCATAGCGAATGCCGTGCAGAGAAAAATAAAATGTACGACGGAAATCAGGTGGGTTCTTGAGCTGCTATTGCTGCTGCTGCACTGGTGCCTGGACTAACTTGAAATCTCGCAAAGCAGAAGACTGTCGATTCAATGAGGTGGAACGCTGGTTGAGTTGGATGAGTTGGATCGCAATGGGCTAATTATAGGTCTAGTCTCGCCACGGCAAGGCCATAAATAGTCCACCTGATAAGAAAGCACGGGGTCAAACTGGGCTGCTGGTTCGGGAAACCATGAGTCAAAGCGGGTTGCTGGTTCGGAAGGCATGAGTCAAACTGGGCTGCTGGTTCGAGACGTTGCTCTTTTGGGAATGCGTGAGCGAAGCCTTTGGCACGAAATCCGAGCCTCGACATGCCGAAACACGGTTGGTCGAAATCTAAGTTTTGAAACCATACCGACTTGCCGAAGCTATGCCAGGCCTTCGAAGGCGAAGCTCCACTGACAGTGTTGAAAATTATTGACAGGCATCAACGCGTGAGTCAACGCTCTGTTGAAATGACAAACAAACATGCCGAAAATTACTTGCTGTAAGGAAATGTGTTATGAATTATAACTCAGACTATAGCGCAGAATACTATAAGGGGAAAGTGATTACAGAATCCTCTAGAATAATGAGGCCTAGGCAATATATAGGTATAAGTTGACCAGGTTGAATGTCGAAGGTTGGACCAGTCAAGGGCACGATAGTCCCGAGGGTGACTGGGTCAAAATGGGTTCGGGGCGACTCGGGATCATGTTGCGGCCGAAAAGGTCAACGGGGGTTGGTTTGGCGCGAGAACCAAGGGCCGAGCCTGCGAAACCGAGAGGTGGGTTCGCAACTGGAGGTTGCGACTGACCGTTACAACTGCAAGAGTGGTAACCGAATCGACTATCGAGTCGCTGTGCAACTCGATAACCGTTTCTTCAACTGTATTCTACAACTGCATCACTTTCCTACTTTTTTATATATTGTTGTATGCTTGTTTCTTTTAATCAATCACTTGCGCTCACATACTAGTGCAAGGGTTCAACTACTCAACTTCCGCTGCACTACCCAAACATCCTTGTACAACTGGGACTTAGTCTCTGAAAGATACTAAGGGCTTTTTCTCAGCCCAACATGGTATGAGAGCTCGTCAGAGACCAAACTCCCAGCAACAACGCTCTACCTACAGTTAACACTTCAACAAGCTTCATCGATTATAAGTCATGGACAGCAAGGGCAAGAAGATCTCTGCGGGCTCTCCCAGTGCCCAAGACACTTAACCCGGCAACTCTGGACTACACACTTCAGGACTTCAAACCGAGACCGGCGCTGCTCAAGAAACAACAGGAAGGGCACCAGAAATGGTGACCCCATCACCCTCCTCAAGTGTGGACCCGAACCTTATGGAAAGGTTCTTCAGCTTCATGTCACACTTCGACCAGCAGCAGCAGACAAGGACACCTACACATTCAAAACAGAGCAACGGAGGAAACATGGGATTAGCGCCAATGAGCCTCGACAAATCATCGTTCGGGCGACACAATCAAGCGCCTACCTTTGCGCCTTATCACTCTTCACCAGGGACGTTCGAGTTCATGCCGCCCCGTGCCCAACCAACAGCAGCTGCATCACAACAGACACCAAACGAGATATTGAGTCTCCAGGCGCAGTTTTCACACGTGATCAAACTGCAGACATCCTCATCGTTCAACGGACACGACCTTTTTACCTGGAGCTTCGAGTTCGAGCTGCTCATGAAGGCCGCGCATCTCTTGGGATACTTCAACGGGTCCCTGCCATTTCCAAGCAACGGCATTGCAAAGGAGCATGAAATTTTCACTTATCAGTCGCTGCTGGCGTACACAGTACTCCTGCGAAACCTGTCACCACAAGAACAACAAAGCATCAGAACATATCGGAGCTACGGAAACTCCGCGGAACTCGCATGGCATTACCTCAAATGTCTCTACCAAGCAAATGACAGCGTGACACAAAGCAGACTCATGCAGTAGTTGACAACAATACAAATGAAAACCGGGGAAAAGGCGATGCAGTTTATGAGCCGCTGCCAGACACTCCGCGACCGCCTGCTTCGGTGCGGAGGTACAATCACTGAAGAAAGCTTCGTAACACTTGTCCTCGCTGGGCTCAGGCCAGAATGGAGAACCACCCGCTCGCTTCTTCGCGCCCAAGGACGAATTTCGGAGATGCACCTCTGCGCTGAGCTTCATGCTGAACAACAGGAGATGGGCCTGTTTGAAGAATGACAACCAAGAAACAAGCAGTAATCGTTAGTCTTCTATGCTCAACGAAGAAACGACAACTACAATCGACGTGACAGGCAGCATCGACACGACACCAAAGGACTCACCATCGTGCCGCCGTTCTGCCACAACTGTCAGACATCCGGACACTCCAAAGTTAACTGCACACGCCCCCGAGTTGATCGTCCAGTAGACCCACAAGTCGCTTCCACTCAAGAAAGTCCGCCAAGGCGTTCCTCCACATCTGCACAAGACACACCGAATATCATCAATTGTATGGTACGCATCGACACCTGCGCACTTGGATCACCACCCACATACACTCCAGACGAAGAAGAACTGCCGCCGCCGCGCTCACAAGGACTTCAGGTCAACCCAACGTACGCTGCATTCGCCAACGCCGAACCCACCAGGCGAAACACCTGGTTCTTGGAAAGCTGTTGCGGCCAACACATGTGTTCTTCCGGACGCTTCGTGCAACGAGAGCGACGCCTCAGCTGCGATGTCATCATCACCGTCGCCAACAACGAGAAGCTGTAAACAAACAGACAAGGAGTGGTTCAGTTGCAGTCCATGGAGACAAATGTCATCCTGCAACTCAACAAGGTTTTAATCGTCGACAACTTGGGATACACTCTGCTAAGCGTCAGCCAGCTAATGGAAAAGGGGATTCACCTGGAATGCGACTCGGACGCCAACGAATTTCGTCTTTACCACGGGAAGGGCGGCCTCTTCATCGATCGCGCTCTCCTGAAGTCAGGTGTCTTCGTGTTGGACTTCGTCCCCGACCGCGGTACTACCGACAGCGATGGCATCGTGTCGTTCGCCGCCTGGACACACCCGCCAGATCTTGACCCGGACTTCACCCCAGATGGATTCTGGCACTCCAACACCATACCTGCAGCAGAGAGAACGCGAGCGTTAGCAGTCATTCGATAAGAAAGACAAGTACCAGCAAGCGTCCCTTCCCCGACATCACCTGCAGTAGCAGCAGCAGGACCCAGCCGTGTACCATCACCAGCAATCCGAGGATCGCCAACCGAAGCAGATCAACTTATGCCCATCACCCGAGAAGTCTGCAGAAGTCCCGCCACGGTCGTCGCGTTATTCTCCAACGCCGATATGTACCAACGCTCACTCGGCCATCGCGCTCCCGACGACATCTAGCATCAACGCCTCGGGCATCCTGCAAACAGCACTGTGCTACAAACCATCCAAGCCGAAGTGTTAGAAAGAAATGCCCTTCTTACAACGAGCGGCCAAGAATTTCGCCGACCACGCGCACGATGCTTCACGTGCCCCGAAGCCGATCTTCCCCACCAACCTTTTACGTCACACCACAATCCAAGCGCACCTGCATACGAACCGATGGAAAAGGTCTACAGCGACATCTTAAATATGCCTCGAGACGACAGTGAAGAAGAATACAACTACGTTATAACATTCATCGACGTAGCAACGCGATACGTCTGGCACTACAACCTCAAGACACGAGATCAAGCATTCGAAGCCTTCACGACATGGCTGCGCATCGCTGAACGGGAATCGGGCTCGAAACTCAAGAGCTTCCAGTCAGACGGAGATCCAGAAGATGGTGATCCAGAAGATGGTGACGAAGCAGCCTATCCCGGGAATGAAAATTCCCCTCGACACACACCCACGGGCCTGCAGATCCTTGGACTATGGGTCGCCGTCCAGACCCCGCCGCCGTGGTCTCCGCGCGAGCCAACGACTCTGTCGCAGGCTCTGGGGGGGGAACACAAGGCAAAATGGAAAAAGAACTGAAGGCCCTGCAAGACCGAAACACGTGGAAGCTGGTACCTGCAACAAAAACCAACGGGAGAAACGTGCTCTCGGGAAAGTGGGTGTACCGCATCAAGACTAATGCGGACGGCTCTATCGAACGATTCAAGGCTCGCTGGGTCGTACGAGGATTCGATCAGCGATACGGAACCGACTACACAGAGACATTCGCCCCAGTCTCCCGTCACACCTCTTTACGCATTCTACTCACCGTCGCGGCCACGAAGAAACTACCACTATGCCAGATCGACGTCGCAAACGCCTTCCTGTACGCACCTGTGCACGCCGAGATCTTTGTCGAGCAGCCCCACGGATTCATCGATGATCCCACAAAAGTGTGCCAGCTGAAGAAATCCCTCTACAGGATCAAACAAGCCCCGCGGCTTTGGAAGCAGCATCTTCACGGCCGCCTCGTAAGGATCGGGTTCCTACAGCTGCCGCACGACCAAGGCATGTACCGACTACAGAAGGAGGGGGAATTTATCCTACATCGGCTCCACTACCGACATCACCACCTGGTTCGAAGGGGAGCTGAGGAGTGACTTGACACTCACGGTGTCTAACACCGTGACCCAGTACCTGGGCCCGAACATCGTCGAAAACAACTGGGCGTTCTACTTACACGCCGGAAAGTACGCAGGCGTTGTCGCGAAGAAATTCGGACTAACGCCTATCGTAGTCGCGACTCCCTATCGCTACAGGAACGACAACGGCGGAACCTCCGCAAAACTCCCCGCGAAGCAAATCCAGGAATATCAACAGAAACTCGGCTGTCTATTGTTTGCAGCAGTAACCTGTCGACCGGACCTGTCCTACAGCGCGAGCCAACTAGCGACACACCTGAAGCAGCCGGAGCAAGAGGATCTCGAAGAGTTAAACCGGGCACTACTCTACTTCGTCTCTACGCTGATGACCGGTCTTACCTACAGCAAAGTAACGCCATCGTCCGTACGACTACTCGGCTATGTCGACGCCGACCATGCGGGAGATAGGGAAAATCGACGCTCCAGAACGGGCTACATCTACCGACTAGAGCCTATCAGGACTATCTCCTGGCAATCGAGCAAACAGGAATTAATTGCGCTACCTTCGGC